CATTGCCTATTTGGACTCCTTTTATCTCTCTTTCTCCCTAATTGCTGTGGCCAAAACCTCCTGTACTATGTTGAATAAAAGAGGTGAGAGTGTGCACACTTCTCCTGGTTCCTGTCCTCAGCAGGATGGCTTTCAATTTTTTCCCCATTGAGTATGATTTGGCTGTGGGTTTTGTCATGTATGCCCTTTATTATGTTGAGGTAGTTTCCTTCTATACCCATCGTATTGAGAATTTATATCATAACTGGTTGTCGGATCTTGTCAAATGCTTTCTGGGGGGGGGGGGGGGGGGCGGCGGGGAATATAAAACAATACGATCCCAAGTTGTGAATAGTGGTTCTCTGGGTGGTGGGATTAGAGATCATTCTACTACCTTTTTCTTTATGATGTTTCTAGATTTTCCAAGTGCAGTACATAGAGACATACTGCTCCACAACTGTGTGTCTATCCCCAGTGCTTAGAACAATGCTTGACACAAGGGAGACAGCAATACACATGTGGTGAACGAATGAATGAATGGGCTGCTTTTGTAATCAGGGAAAAGACAGAACATTGTCCCAAAGCAACGAAACACCATTCTGAAGGGAGGATGTCCATGAAATCAGCAAAAAGTGAAAACACGCAAGGTTTGCTCTGTGATCAGGTAAAAGTTACAAGTCGTTCATTAATGTAAAAAGTTGAGGGGCCGGCCCTGTGGCCGAGTGGTAAAGTTCGTGCGCTCCGTTTTGGCAGCCCAGGGTTTCACTGGTTCAAGTCCTGAGCACGGACATGGCACTGCTCATCAGGCCATGCTGAGGTGGCATCTCACATAACACAACTAGAAAGACTCACAACTAAAATATATACAACTATGTACTGGGGAGCTTTGGGGAGAAAAAGGAAAAATAAAATCTTTAAAAAATAAATAAATAAAAACTTGAAAATAAACAGCTATGAGGGCCGATCTGAGGAGTGCTATATCACAGGTACGTCTGGAACACGGATTGTCTGTATTCCCCACTCCTTTCTCCAACACCCCATGTGGATCACCTGCCAGGGCGGGAGGTGTCTCAGTGCTCCCACAATCATTTGGCTTCCCTTGGTCCTGACATTATTGCTCTACAGTAATAAAAGCTTTCACCAATTGATGTTACTTTACTGTGGGTCACTATGTCCTAGGCACTCTGCTATTTTATATTATCTAATTTAATCTTTATAAGAATCTTGTGATGTGGATTGTATTATCTCCTTTTCAAAATGAGGAACTGAAGCCAGGAGAGGTTTTGTAACTTTCCCAGGAGGAGGTGAGGCTGGGAGCCAGGCTCTCCTGTCTGTCACCATCCTCCCAGCCCCAGCTGTTGGCTCACATGGCTCCTCCCAGCTCCTGGAAGTCCCTGACCTTCCGGGCTGTGACTGACTCATCTCTGATCCCCAAGTCTAGCTTAGTGCCTGGCACAGAGAGGCTCAGGGAATGTCTGTTAAATCCCACGGGAACCTCCCTCAGGAAGTTGAGGCCCACCAGGTCTCCTACTTCCAGCATTACCTCCCCAATCCGCTCTCCACCCTGCGACCAGAGGGACCTTCCTAAAAGTCCACATCACTCCCTGCTCCCTCTTAACAGTTCCCTCCCAGCCCAAGGAGCCCAGCTGGAGAGAGGGGAGAAAGAGACCCACTCTCTCATGTTCCCCCACCCACCCAGCTGGCTCCCCTCTCTGTCCACCTGTCCTTCAAGCCACCCTCTGGTCTATTTCCTGTCACGTGTCCTTTTCCATCCACTGCTCTCAGGCTTTCTCCCTCTTGCCCCGAGCCTGGGACTCCAGGGAGCTCCTTTTCCAAGTGACTCTCATTACACCCATCTGTGTTCCCCTAAGTCCTTTTCTCTCTTTAATCCTCTGTAGCATCCCTGACAAGCTAAACAGATACACTAGGACACCAGAAAGTGATGGTTCTATTTGTTGTATATTTTTTAGTAGACTTTTCAGTTCTTAGATCTTAAACATTTAGAGTGAGAACGCTTTTTTTTTAAAGATTGGCACCTGAGCTAACAACTGTTGCCAATCTTTTTTTTCTTCTTCTCCCCAAAGCCCCCCAGTACATAGTTGTGCGTCCTTCTAGTTCCTCTATGTGGGACACCGCCTCAGCACAGCCTTGATGAGCGGTGCCATGTCTGCATCCAGGATCCGAACTAGCAAAACCCTGGGCTGCTGAAGTGGAGCGCGTGGACTTAACAACTCGGCCACGGGGCTGACTGCTGAGTGAGAATTCTTACTTTCTGACATCTGGGCAGCATCTCAAAGTCCTTTCACATTCTTGCTTCATCTGATCTTCACAAACTTGTGGGTTAGGTAGGACAGGGGTTATTATACTTGATTTGTAAATGAGGAAACTAAGGCTTTAAGATTTGTCAGAAATTACAGAGCCAGGTGTCAAACCCAGGTCCTCTAACACCACATCTGGGCTCTTCCCACTCCACTCTGTGGCTCCAAACTGAAGATGAATGGAAATCTGTTCACTGACCCAGGAACCCATCTGTGGCTCCTTCCTCAGTGCATGCCTGCCTACTAATTAGCTAAACCATGCCTTTCTCCCAGTTTCTTTAATCACCAACCTCAGAGAGGACAGCTGCCAGGAAGCCGTGGTTGTCCAGCTCGTCTTGTCTTAAACCTGATTCTTATAACTCACCTTCCGTTTGTGGAAAGCATCTCAGTGGAAAAGCACCGCCTCAGCCCCAGTGAGCAATCTGCTTCTCTGGATTGTTCTTCGGGCTTCTCTGGCGTCTTGGTTATGACTGCTTCTGATATTCTGGTATTCTGCCCAGTTCTCTTCACAGCACCAAAAAACTTAGAGAAAAGGCAAACATTCAGTCAAATATTTACCAGAGATACGAAAGCAAGTGGGTGGACTTCTTCCTCGTTTTAGAACACTGCTGGCTATTCTTCTGTTCTTCCTCCCCTTCTCATGCTGCAGATACAGGCACTTCCTTTCGATTTCCTCTCTCCCAGGCTCTTGCTGTCTCTTTTTGGCCCCTGCTGTGGGCACTGGCCCCCTGAGCTGTCTGAGCTTTGCCCGGCAGCTGAGGCCTCTTTGAGTGGCTGTAAAAAGCGTTACAGGCAATAAACTAGGACTCTGCCTCAAGGCAATAAACTAGGAAACTAGGACCACTGACTTCAAGATTCCCCTTGGAAACAAGGTCGCCCATTTGCAGGGAGAAGAGGCAGGAAACAAGTTCAAAACTGAACACTGCCCATGTGATGGAGAATGTGATAAGATTTCCCAGTTACCAGAATGTCCCTTGGAGTCTAAATCCATCCCTTCACCTTTGTGCCTGAGGGCTCAGGACGTGGTTATGTCTTCTTCACTTCCTCTGTTCCCTTCTGCCTGCATGGGTTGGTGTTTAGAAAGGTGGAGCCACAACATGGAAGGAGCCTGGGTCCCTGATCAACCCTTCAGACTAGGAATAGCTGTTTGAGGCTTTACATGAATAAGAAACAAACTTCTACTATGTTAGAGCCATTATATACTTTGGAGTTTGTTACAGCAGCTAGTCCTTAATCAATACACCTTCTCCATTCACGCTGCTATAGCCACAGATCCAGCCCTCTTCACCTCCTGCCTGGACTATCCCAAGAGCTCTCTAACAGCCTGCAGCCTCCAGTCTCCATGCTCAGTGCATACACACATCTCCCCAAAGCTCACCTCAGACTTGTCATGCCCTTGCCAAGCATCCTCCCATGGTCCGCACTCCTGACAAGCCTCCCAAGAGATTGCTTCAACCCTTTCTTCCAGCCTAATCCCCCACTGGCTTCCTGCACACATCTATAGGTATTTTAAAGTTGCTTATTCATCCCTAAACATAGCCTTTCATGCTACTCTGGATCTTTAGGGAACAAGAAACAGAGATCCACTCAAATTGCCTAAGTTAACAGGGTTTCCTATCACTGCTCTGCAAGGGCTGGGACCCAACCTGGGAAAGTGTTGGAAACTGGAGCTGCTCTTGGGAATGCCTCCTCCCTCTTGTGGCCAAGGGGTCTCTCTTTCTCGTCTCTCTCCCTCTGGGCACTTTTTCTTTAAGCTGTTCTCTCTGTGGCTCAGCCCCTTTGTTTCCGTATGGTTTCTGCTCTCTTGTGGCTTCAACTCACCACTGTCCTGACTCTAGTTCATGGTATCCTTTCAACTTCTATATCCATTGATCACTGGCCCCTTCCCAGGGTTTCCTCCAGCTCTAATTGCTAAGAGAAAAGATCTGTCCCAGTTTATCTTTTACCCCAGGTAGGTCACAGGCCAGTCTATGCCTTTGTGTTTTTGGCTCAATCACACACCCCTTGTTTTCTTGGACTTCCATAACAAAATACCACACACTGGGGGTCTTAAACAGCAGACATTTATTTCCTCACAATTCTGGAAGCTGAAAGTCCAAGATCAAGGTGTCAGCAGATTTGATTCTCCTAAAGCCTCTCTCCTTGGTTTGCAGAGGGCTGCCTTCTCGCTGTGTCCACATGTGGCCTTTCCTTTGTGCACGTGCATCCCTGGTGTCTCTCTCTGTGTCCTAATCACCTCTTCCTAGAAGAACACCAGTCAGATTTGATTAGGGCCCACCCTAGAGGCCTCATTTTAACTGAATTACCTCTTTAAAGGCCCGGCCTCCAAATACAGTCACATTCTAAGGTACTGGGGGTGGGGCTTCAACATATGGATTTTGATGGGACACAGTTCAGCCCATTATACCCTTGATGTAATGAGCTGTGGTGGAGCAGGAGGGGGTCATGGAGGCAGCGAACAGGTACCATAACTGACAGATTCAGGCCATTTGTGCTTGTCCACTTGGATCCCTTTCCTCCTCCCTACAACACCTCCTCCTACTTCTGCTCATCTCCCTTGTTTTTGGTCATTAAGTCCTACCTCAAGCATAACATCTGGTATAAAGTGTCTTCTGATTGTCATGGTATAGTCTTATTTCTCTTGGCTTGGTCTACATCTCTTTTATGGTACATATGTAGGTCTTCTTTATTTGTTCATTCAAGAATGAACAATGATGGAGAGGTAGTCTGGGGCAGTGGTTCAGAGTGTGGACTTTGGGGCCAATTCCACCATTTACTAGTTGAGTAATTTTGGGCAAGTTACATTGTTAACCTCTCTGATCCTCAGTTTTACCTGAGATAAGTGACACCGACTTCATGGACATGTGAGGTTGAAATTACCTGATATGCATACAATGCTTAGGAGGCCGCCTGACATACAGTAAGCACTCAATGAATGTTAGCTATTGTTGGGCACCTGCTGTCCAGCATGTGCTGACTGGGATGTGAAGTACACAGTCATGCCACAGTTAACTGTGTCCGAGCCTTAGCTCCCTGCTGGATCACAGGGGCTTGGAAGCCATGACTAGATCTGATTCAGCACATCATATGGGAGACAAGGAGGCCCCACAAATGCTTGTTCTCAAAAGTGAAAATAATGAAAGAGGAATGAAAAAGACAGAGAAATATGAAGATGGGGTACAACATAAGTCTCTTCCTGTATGCCTAAAAACAAAGAAATACTGTAAACATGTTTTTTCTAAACCAGGCCCTCACTTTCCTTGGAATAAGCAGTTCTTGGTGCATCCATGCCACATTGTGCCAAGAAAAGGACTGCAAATCTCTTCTTCCAGGCACAAGGAGATGCAATCTCTTCCAGGAGTGCCCATCTGCCAGGTGCTTCCTGGCTCCGTTGCCCAGGCTTCAAAGGGATATTTTTAATTCTTGGATTATCACAGTGGTCTCCCTCACAATTCTACAACTGCTCTCTTCACACCACTCAGGAAGAGCCATTATTGAATTTCTCCTGACTGCCCTGGGGAGGACTGGGAGGGCAGCCACCTTAAAGTGGAAGAAAAGCTAAGACATTTGTTCTAAAATGCTTAACTTCTGGGAAATTTCATCCACAGTAGTAAGGACCCATTTCTAAGTGGCTACCATGCTCCAGACACAGCCTCTCGGAACCTGGAGGCCACACTCTTTGATAGATTTCACTTCCCCTCTCTCATGCTTCCTCATTTTAGTGTTGAATCTAAATGGAGAACTTGACATGTATCTGTGGAACATTTCAACATTTGATTTCTCTCTACCATTTGAATCTATGCAAACCTTTTTGAATATTGCTTCTTCAATCCAATGTCCAGTAATTCCTGTCTGAAGATTTGGGGCATCCAGGTTATTGATAAAAATACTGCATATAGAGTGACATCAGCATCATGGCAGAGTGAGCTTTCCCAGTAATCTGTCCTCTCCACCATACAACAAAAAAAATTCATACTCCAACAGAGGACATCTACACACAACACAGATAACGTCAGACAGATCCACGCAGCCATACAACAGAAGGTGGAGAGGCTGGAGCCGCCCTTGGAGGAGGCAGAATGGGGTAAGAGAAAACTTGGCTTCTTCCCCTAAAGACTGAGATCTGGGACCACGAGAGGTTCCATGAGAGAAGGAACGAGGGAGGGGATGTTCACTCGCAGGAACATCAAGGATCCCAGAGGGCTCAGGCAGCCTAGAGGGAAGCCCTCTACCAGGATGAGAGCTTGTGCAGGGGGTGACCTCATCAAGCCAACACCCCAGGAGAGCAGATAGCGAGAGCAGAGTGAGAAAACCTCAAGAGCACAGAGGAGAAAGTGCCCCTCCACCCACCCGCTCAGCGCAGCTCTAGCGCCTGGGATCTGGGCTGACGCAGAGGGCTCAGAATACACAGCTCTCAACCCCCACCCAGTGGCGATAGGAGGTAACTGCAACCAAATAATACCAGGATGCTAGAAAACAAGAGCCATGCCCTCTAGCAATATCAAACATTATATTAGATCTCCAGACCAGAGAGAAAATGACAAGTACCCAGAAATCAGCCCTGAGGACACAGAAATATAATCTTGAATTCAAAATAGCTATCATCAAAAAACTCAATGGGGTAAAAGAGAAAGTAAACAAACAATTCAACAAGTTCTAGAAGTACTTCAAAAAAGAGATTGAAACTATAAAGAAGAATCAATCAGAAATATTAGAGATGAAATACACAATGGAAGAAATAAAACAAAATACAGATTCCATGAACACTCAAGTGGATATCATAGAGGAGCATATCAGTATAATCAAAGATAGACATGTTGAAATGCTTCAGACAGAGGAGGAGAGATAACTAATACTAAAAAGAAATGAAGAAAGTCTCCAAGAAATATCCGACTCAATGAGGAAATGCAACATAAGAATTATAGGTATTCAAGAAGGAGAAGAGAAGTAGAATGGAGCAGAAAGCGTGTTCAAAGAAATAATAGCGGAGAACTTCCCAAACCTGGGGAAAGAGAGGCAAATCTGTGTGGAAGAGGATTCCAGATCTCCTGGATATGTCAATGTAAAAAGACCTACTGCAAGGCATATAGTAGTAGAACTGGCAATAATGAATGACAAAGAAAGAATACTCAGGGCAGCAAGGCAGAAGAAAATAACCTATAAAGGAACCCCTATCAGGCTTTCAGTGGATTTCTCTGCAGAAACCTTACAGGCTAGGAGAGAATGGAATGACATATTCAAATCTTTTAAAGACAAATGTTTTCAGCCAAGAATACTCTATCCAGCAAAAATATCCTTCAGATGTGATGGAGAAATAAAAACTTTCCCAGACAAACAAAAGCTAAGGGAGTTTGTAGCCATGAGACAATCAAGAAATCCTCAAGAAGGCCTTCATACCTGAAAAAAAAAAGGAGTTACAAAGCATGGAGTAGGGAGATAAATAGGTAGACAGAATCAGAATACGATAGCAAATACTCAAGTATGGCATTAAATAAATATAAAGGGCAGGAAAACACCAAAAACAAAGATAGTCTTGACCTTTTAACCACAAACTCACAACACAAGATGGAATAAGATGTGAGAAAAACAACTTAGGAGGGGAAGAGGAAAGGGACTGAATCAGTTTAGACTTAGGAAATAAGACAGAAAATGGACTAACTTATACATGAGATTCTGAATACAAATCTCATGATAACCACTAAACAAAAAATCAGAACAGAGTCACAAATAATAAGGATGAAACAAAGAAACACAATATAAAAAACTACATACTTCAATCAAAAGACACAGAGTGGCAAGATGCATTAAAGAACAAGATGCAACAGGATGCTGCCTCCAGGAAACACATCTCAGCTCCAATGACAAATACAGGCTCCGAGTGAAGGGGTGGAAGATGATACTCCAAGCTAATGGCAAACAAAAGAAAGCAGGTGTCGCAATACTTATATCAGACAAAAGAGACTTCAAGATAAGACAGGTAAAGAGAGACAAAGAGGGGCAGTATATAATGATCACAGGGACATTCCATCAAAAAGAAATAACACTTATAAATATCTATGCACCCAACAGAGGAGGACCAAATTTCATAAAGCAACTATTAACAAACCTAGAAGAAGATATTAATAATGACACAATAATAGTAGGGGACCTCAACACTCCACTCACATCAATGGATAGATCATCCAGACAGAAAATCAACAAGGAAACAGTAGAATTAAATGAAAAGGTAAACCAGTTGGACTTAATAGACATATACAGAACACTCCATCCAAAAACAGCAGAATACACATTCTTCTCAAGTGCGCACGGAGCATTCTCAAGGATAGACCATACCTGATCACAATGCTATAAAGCTAGAAATTAATTACAAGAAAAAAGCTGAGAAAGGGACAAAGATATGGAGACTAAACAACACGCTATTGAACAAGCAATGGATCGTTGAAGAAATCAAAGGAGAAATAAAAAAATATCTGGAGACAAATGAAAATGATAACATATCATACCAACTCATACAGGATGCAGCAAAAACCATATTAAGAGGGAAATTCATTGCAATACAGGCTCACCTTATCAAACAAGAAAAAATCCACATAAGCAACCTAAAATAACACCTAACTGAATTAGAAAAAGAACAAACAAAGCCCCAAGTCAGCATAAAGAGAGAAATAGTAAAAAATCAGAGCAGAAATAAATGCTATTGAAACAAAAAAGGCAGTGGAAAGGATCAAACAAAGAGCTGGTTCTTTGAGAAGATAAATAAAATTGACAAACCCCTAGCCAGACTTACAAAGAAAAAAAGAGAGAAAGCTCAGATAAATAAAATTAGACATGAAAGAGGAGAAATATCAACAAATACCACAGAAATACAACGGATTATAAGAGAATACTATGAAAAACTATATGCCAACAAAATGGACAATCTAGAGGAAATGGGTAAATTCTTAGACTCTTACTACCTCCCAAAGCTAATCAAGAATAAACAGATAATCTGAATATACCAATCACAAGGAAAGAGATTGAAACAGTAATCAAAAGCATCCCAAAGAATAAAAGCCCAGGACCAGACA